CGATGGATACTAAGTAAAATCAGTGGGCAAACATAGACACTATATACATAATCTCAAAGTATTTCCGAACAAGAAAAGTATCACTTACAAGGGGAAAACAGTAACCTTATGGTGGAGAAACCCAAAAGAAACCATGTTAACCAAGTGACCAAAATTAATACCACCAGTAAAAGACAGAGACATCAAAGATGCACTGAGAAAGAAACATTACTTCCATGGTATTCCTGGCAAAAAATGCGTAATTCTAATCGAATTATAAAAATATTAGACAGATTCAGTGAGAAACATTCTTAAATATAACTGACCAATACTTATCAAAATGTTAAGGTCATGAAAAACAAGACTGGAGAAGTGTCACAGACTGGGATGTGACACAACCAAATACAAAGTGGGATCCTGAACTGAATCCAAATAGGAAAAAAGAAATTAGGGGAACTGGTGGGATGTGAATAAAGTTAGTTGTTTAATGTATCATATCAATGTTAATTTCCTGGTTTCTGTGGCTCTGTAAGTTGTTGACATTAGGGGCGGCTGGAAGAACATACTTGAACCCACACTATCTTTTCAACTTCCCTGTAAATTTAAAATAATTTAATCATTAATCATTGGAGAAAAGCCAATCAAAACCACAATGAAGGACTAATTCACACCCATTAGGATGGTTATCATCAAAAAAATAGAAGGTAAGTGTTGGTGAGGATATGGAGAATAAGAACCCTTGTGTGTCAATGGTGGGAATGTAATATACTGCAGCCACTGTGGAAAACAGTACAGTGGTTCCTCAGAAAATTAAAAGTAGAATTACCATATGATCCAGCAATCCACTTCTGGGTATACACTCAAAAGAACTGAAAGCAGGGACTCAATTTGCCCACTACTGTTTATAGCGGCATTATTTACAATAGCCAAAAGGTGGAAGCAACCCACGTATCCATCAATGGATAAACAAAACGTGGACCATACATACAATGGAATATTCAATCTTAAGAAGGGAGGAAATTCTTTTTTTTTCTACAAAAAGTGTAAAGTTTTTTTTTAATTGTGTAACAGAGGCAAAATTATTTAAGTCAATAAATTGTTTAAGAATTTCACATGTTCTGGGGGCAGGGTATAGCTCAGTGGTAGAGTGTGTGCCTAACATTCATGAGGTCCAGGGTTCAATCCCCAGTACAACCATTAAAAATCAATCAATCAACTGATTACCTCCTCCCACCAAGAAAAATAAATTAAAATTAAAAAAAATTTTTCACGTGTTCTGATTCTTTCCACTGCCCATCACCTTAGTTCCTCAATGTTTGAGTCATAATCTTCAAGATAGCCCTTTCAACAAGAATTTTTGCTCAATCAACAGTTGTCATGTCAGTCAGTCCATAGTTCTTTGAGTTTCTTTATTTCCAGTGGAACATGGAAACACTTCAAAAACTCCTCACCTGTAATCTTTGGGATCCAATTTCATTAAGCAATTTACTTTAGGATTATTACGTATTTGGGGTCAGGGAAGATGGATCTGCCTGGTTCTGAATTTAAACACCCTCTAAACATGCATTAAGTTCAAATCATATTTACTCCTAAGCTTATCACACCCTAAAACAGAACCGATCGTTGGGATATGCCAATATCTAAGATAAAGAGTTTGACTGTTAAGTTTTTCATAGTTTATATAGCAGCTCTGTCTTGTAGTTCTTTCGCACAGATCCAACATGTAGTTCTGTGAGTAAAGGAAAGCACACAGTTACTCTGAGACATTTCCAACTATGTAGGTCTACGGAAAAAGCCCCATCTAGACAGACCTCAACAGGGGAGGAAATTCTGAGACATGCTACAACAGTGACGAATCTTGAGGACATTATGAGAAGTGAAATTAGCCAGACACACAAAGACAAATAATTTATGATTCCACTCTCATGAGTTACCTACAATAAGCAAATTTATGGAAACTAAGTAGAATGGTGGTTGCCAGGTTCTAGAAGGAAGAGAAAATGGGGAGTTTTTAAATGGGTGTGGAGTTTCAGTTTTGCAAGATGAAAAGAATTCTGGAGATTGGTTGCACAACAATGTGAATTACTTAACATTTCTGAACTGTACACTTAAAAATGGCAGATGGTAAATTTTATGTTATGTGTATTTTATGATTAAAAATAAGTTATAGAGATGGATAGTGGTGATGTATATGTAAATGCCACTGAACTGTACACTTAAACATGGGAAAATGGTAAATATTACACATATCTTACCACCATGAAATAGCTTCAAAATCAAAAAAAAATAAAATAACTCAGACTATAAAATTTTAAAGGAAAATATAAAGCCGAAGAGTCCTCAAGATGTGTATGAACCGAGAAGTGTTTAAAATTGAGTTGTGCATATGCAAGAGACTGAGACATACAAAATAAAGGGATTACTAGAAAAAGAATGTTTTTCAAACTCTAAGTTTTTAGTTATACTACAGAACAGAGTACTGATAAGTCCATTTAATAAGCTGGTTGCTTTTTCAATTACTTATTATCTGCAGACTCCACAATTTTCTACCCCTGGTTTCAGAAATGTTCAGAGATATTAAGGTTGCTTTTACTTTGCTTCACACTTCAAACTTCAGTATGCATTAAGAATTGTGCTCCTGCACTAACGAACTCATCTACAAAAAGAAACAGACTCACAGTCAAGAAACGTACGGTTACTGGGGGAAAGAGGGTGGGAAGGGATAAATTGGGAGTTCAAGATTTACAAATATTAACCACTAGATATAAAGTAGATAAAAGACAAATTTCTTCTGTATAGTACAGGGAACTATATTCAGTATCTTGTAGGAACCTATAATGAAAAAGAGTATGAAAACGACTATATGTATGTATATGTATGACTGAAACATTATGCTGTACACCAGAAACTGACAAAGTGTAACTGACTATACTTCAATTAAAAAAATTTTTTTAATTATGTAAAATTTGAAATTGAAAGGCTCCTCCAAATAGATTGCTTATCGGATCATCACAGTGAAGGTGTTGTCAAGCACATTTTGTAGACCAGGAAATGGAAATGCTGAAGCTTTTTTTTACGTACTGTCTATTTCACACTTAAGAGCATCTCAAATCAGATGCTAAATTTTCCTCAGAAATATCTGACTTATATTTAGGTTTCATAAAATTTACTGTTAAAAAAATATTCACCTACCAAGTTATTCCAGGTACACTTTAGTTTCCCAGTAACTGAATCGAATATCTGTATTTAAACTTACATTAAAATTAAAAGGAAAAATTCAGTTCCTTAGTCACACTAGCCACATTTCAAGTGCTCAGCAATCACCTGTGACAAGGCAGCTTTAGACAGATACTGCCTTTACAAGGACTATCTCTGTATGCATCCTGATTTGTGTTTCCACAGGGTTTGTACCTATCTCTTCATTGTACTTAACACATGTCATTCTAAAAGTGTGAGGGTTTCTATATCTTTTCTTGGAATTAGAATATGTGATATTAAAGGCATCACTCTCATTCACCTTCCTATCCAGGAGTATCTGGCACCCTTCCTACCAAGAGGGACTCGGGCAAGTTGTTACATTTAGTAATGTCATGGGTTGAATAGTGGCCTCTGCAAAGTATGTCCAAGTTCTAAATTCAGGAAGCTGTGAAGGTGACCTTGTTTGGAATAAGGGTCTTTGCAGATGTAGTTCAAGTAAGGATCTGGAGATGAGATTATCCTGGATTAGGGTGGGCCATAAATCCAATGCAGGGTGTCTTTCTGAGAGACAGGAAAGAAGACATACAGAGATACACAGAGGAAAAGGCCACGTGAAGATGGCAGCAGCGTTCAGAGGGCAGTCCCAACCCAAGGAACAACAAAGATTGCCAGCAGCCACCAGAAGCTATGAGAGGACTGGAATGGACTCCCTCTTGGAACCACCAGGAGGAGCCAACTCTGCAGAAGCTTTGATGTCCAACTTCTGGCCTCTAGCCCTGTGAGATAATAAATTCTCTTTTTAAGCCACCAGATTTGTGGCAATTTGCACAGCAGCCCTATTAATACAAGTAGTCTGTGTCACAACCACAGAGCAGGGATCATGGCAGGAAGTAGAAAGTCTTAGACGAGTGATTGAAATAGTAAATCTCCACCCCAGATTTTATTACGATAAAAATGAAGACGGGTTTTGTGCCTGGAATACAGATGGTATGCCATGAGGTTCTGAACATGGCTTTAGAAAAAAGAGATAATATATCTTGTAACAGAATTAAGGGTTTTAGATAGCCCCTATATAACCTTTTACCTAATGATAAAACACTAAAATAATTCCACCAAATTAAATCTGATAACCAAACAAGGAGACTTAGCATCACCATTATTAATATTGTCCCCAAATTCTTATCAATACAATAATTCAAGAAACAGAAGTAGAATACCTATTAAAAAGAGATCAAGTTTTAAAAATGAATTGAGGGGGGAGGATATAGGTCAAGTGTTAGAGCTCACGCTTAGCATACACATGGTCCTAGGTTCAATCCCCAGCACCTCCTCTAAAAATAAAACAAAAAAGTAAGTCTAATTACCTACCCCCCCCAATTTTTTTAAAATAAATAAATTTAAAAATGAATTGAAGACAAAACTAAAGGAAAAAGAACTACTGAAATACTAGCAGGACATTTGAACTTAATTTAAGCAAATCACCTGAAAACTTCCCTGTTCACCAATAGTAATTTGATAAATACAATGAAGTTCTATTCGTATTGCTGTAAACATAAAAGTATCAAGGTATAACTTTACTGAGAAAAGCATGACATTTATAAGGACAAACTAGAAATTGTGTGCAGATACAAAACAGAATTTCTTACATGGGGTAGGTACAGTAAGGACAGGTGGAGCATCTCAGCACTGGGCCGTCCAGCTGGGTCCAATCCCAGGACAACTGACACACACCACCAAGGAGGGTGAACCTCTCACCTTCCCAGTCCATGGATTACAGTGTTTCCTTTGATGTAGGGATTCCAAGAAATAGAATAGGCAATACATACAGATGGGGAATTGTGATTTATTAACAGAATCAGCAGAAGCAACAAGTTTCCGATATCCAGACCCTCCTGAGAAAAATTATCTTCTAAAACATTTGCTTCCTATCCCATCCCTTTCTTCACCATCTCTTCTGTCAACACAAATCCCTCATAAACCATCACTGAGAGACACATTTACAAACTCTGCGCCCTTAGGTTGCCAATTTTCTATTTGCCTGTTCCCTCATTTATAACAGCGGTGGTACACATCATGTTACATACACCGTAAGGGAGGTATTCTTAGGATATATTTCATTGCTGTTACTTCAACATAGTCCTAAGGGGTTTAACCAACAAATCACTTTATAGTTTTATAGTTGGATCTGTGATCCATTCTGAGTTAATATGTAAAGTGTGAGGTTTCAGTTAGGGTTCATTTTATTTGCAGATGGACATCTGGTCGTTCCAGCACTTATTTATAGGACTATTCTTTTCCCGTTGAACTGTTGCAAATTGTTTCCATTGAATTTGTTGTCAAAAATTGGCCATGTCTGTGTCAATTTCTGGACTCTCTATTCTGTCCCACTAACCAGTCTATCCTTCCACCAATACCATACCCTCTTGATTCCAATAGCCTTATAGTAAGTTTTAAAATTGGGTAGTAATGTGATTCCTCCAATTTTACCCTTTTTCAAAATAGTTCTGGCTACTCAGTCTTTTTTCATTATATACGCTATTTCTGGTAATTTTCATTGTTCAAAAGCCTGCTTTGTCTGATAGCAATACAGTCACATCAGATATTCCTTTTTTTTACTGTTTGCATGTTATACCTTTTCCCATCTCTTTAAAACTACCTATTATTTATAGGTAGTCATATACATAAGGACTCTTATACACATTGAGTCTTTTTTTAATCCACTCTGACAATCTGTCATTTTATTGGTGTGTTTGTGCCATTTATATTTCATGCCAAAAAGAGTTAACATAGCAGGCCTGAGTCCCCCCTGCTTGCAAGACTGGCCCTTGGCTGGTATCTGAGAACTTACCTGGGAAACAGTTGCCTATGCTCACATAAAACTTCACCTAAATGATAAGAGTGGCTCAATACACACCTAACCTAACAAATGATGTGGTCACTGCTGAACACCTGCTTCCCTCATCAATCATATGGGTACCATGTTGCCTCCATGACTGACCCCCAAGAAACACCCTGGACTCCTAGCCTTTGATAAACTTCCCTGGTAGACAACACTTCCCATGAGTACTGCAGCTAGTTGTCGGGGGAATTCAGCGCATCCTGTGGGAGTCCACTAACAGAGGATTCTGGGAAGCTCATGTCCAGTTACCTCTGGACTTCATCCCAGGCACTTTTTTTCCTTTTTGCTGATTCTACTCTGCCTCCTTATGTGGTAATAAGTCATGGCCACAAGCACAACTATATCCTGAATCCTGAGTCTTTCTTTGAAAAATAATTTAATTTGCTAACAAAATTATTAAATGTTTCACTTAGCAAAGCACACCTAAAAGGAACTAATGATAAAAAGAGAAGCTTAAATTAAGGCTTCACAATTTCACATAGTCACAAAGACCAAAACCCAACAGTACTGGTATTATATTTCAATTTTCAAATTTAATGTTGTAAAATCTGAAGTTACCTTAAAGGATTTTAAATGGGGGAAAAAAAAAGATTAGAAGGAAAAAAGCATCAAATTTTTAAAATATTATGGATCTAAGACCTTTAATAGAATTTTTTTAAAGCATGTCTCCCGAATGTGTTTAGATGAGTATGGTATAAAAGTTATTTCACAAAACTGAAATTACTTCAATATAAATATACAACTGCTGAGGTATGCCACTACAATATAAATTGAAATAAGCTCAACATGCAAGAAGCATTTTGAGGCATTACAAAATACTGAAAAGGGATTCTAAAAAAATAAACAACTGATTTCACAAGTTCATGGTGCAAATTGGTTACACAGCTTCCACTTCTATAAAAACAGCTATTCGTTGTTCCTGGATTCCCCGTGTAAGGTTAGGCTGGAATCAGTAGAGGTTTCCTATAAAACCAGCTGTCTTGACTAATACAGTATGTTTCACTGTGCTTCAATACCCACCTGCTTCATTTCTGTGGGACTAGAATACTTCAATATACCTGTGTCCCATGGTTTCTCTGTCTTTTTTCAGGGCCATTTGATATAATCTTCTGATTAGCATCCAACAAAAAAATGAGATCAACACCAGATGCCCCATATTCAGTTCTGGAAATTCTGCACATCTCAGCAGACAAGCACCAGGACGAGCTGGGCCGCCAGTCCTCCACGGCCTTCAGGACCAAGCAGCAGAGACACCTGACAGGACAGGCATCAAACTCGCTTGGGTATGACTTTTTGTGGCTGAAAATAAAGCAAAATCTGTAAATTTTTCATTTAATATATATAACAAGAATATGTAATGAACATAATTTTCTCCATTATATAGATGAGGAACGTAAAGATGAGTCAAATTACATAAAGAGCCTTTAAAATACCAAAAACATTTTAGAGCTGAGATTTAAGCCCAAGTCTCTGTTTCCAAAACTTATACAAACTCCCCCATCCCACCCACAAAGACTACCTAATTTACTAAAGGACAGAGTGCGCACAATTTAACTGAATCAAAATGGCACTTAGAGGACATACTGCGGTAGGCCCTCTGGTGAAAGACCACAGCAGTGACAAAAGATATTTTAAAAATATGAATGGGTATGATTGCTGGAAAATGAGAAGAGTCACCCTCAGTGGACAGGGAATTTTGAGGAATTCAAAGAAGATGGAGTGCCCACAGAGTTGTATCCATAGTCCAAAACCTGCAGGAGATGACAGCTTGAAAAGATGCAAGAAGCTCCAGCGACAGCTTGAGTTTTGGGGCTCCCTTCTCCTTGTACCCAGAGGGCTGGGAAAGCAGTTGTGGGTCCACTCCCAGGCTGGCAGAGAGGTAGTTAAGGTGCCCTTGGTGTCTGGCAGCAACCAAGATGCCTTAGGAATCCCATATCATTACTGGGGCACACACACCACGTCCTGTCCTGTTATCTATAAAGGGTAGAGGTAAACAGAATCAGGCCCACAGGGATTTTCATGCAACATCTGAAGAAAACCAACACCCCAAAGAGCATCACCTCATTGAAAGGACGGAAGGTAACACTGAAGAAAATTAAGTCAATACAGAAAGCAGGAGATTTTGAAAGATGGAGATTTTCAAAGATGTATGCCTAGTATGTTCACAGCAATATGACAGATTGACACCTGTAAATATATATATATATTTAATTTATATATATATTTATATATAAATTTATATATATTTATAAATATATATTTATATTTATAAATTTATTTATATATTTATAAATATATATATCTTTATCATATATATATCTTTTATGATAAAGAACAATTAGCCATCTCGGATATTAAAAATAGTGTCAAAATCCAAAAAAAAAAATGCTCACAAAATTAAGGAAGTAGCAGAATAGAAGAAATTCGTAGAGTGGAATGGTGAGCTGGAAGATCCACTCAGTGATCTCAAATGCAGTGCAAAGGTAAAGAGTAAGTATGATCTTTAGTTTAAAGGGACCAAGCTATAATTTCTAAAAGCAACTACTGAATGTACTAGAAAGAAAGAGAATAAATGTGGGGTAATGCTCTAAGAATAGTAAGTAATACTCCAAACTGGAGAAAAATATGAGTCCACAGATTATATGTATCGCCATATGTCTAAAGAAGGAGGATATATATAATTCAGATGTTTCAACATACTGGGAATATAAATATTTGTCAAGTTAAGGAGAGGGTGCCTTATAATGTCATGATAAAACCTGGTGATCCAATAAAAAAAAACTCTATAATATTCTTAGTTATAATTAAAGCAAAAACTCTTATCCTTAACCAATAACATAGGTTTACTTATTTGTGGTAGGAGGTATATTTACACAGAGTATGATTAATTATGGAAGCTGAATTTCATCTTGATCAAACTTCTGCTTTTTTTTTAATATGGCCCTATTCTCTTGGCCATATTTTATAGGCTCAGAAGTGCCCCCCACCCTTTTTAATGGAAGTACTGGGGATTGAAGCCAGGATCTCACACGTGCTAAGCATGAGCTCTACCACTGAGCTATTTCACCTGACAAAACCTTCTAATTTTTAACCCACTGTCAATGGCTTTAGTAATTGTTATGATTAACAGAACCAACAAAATAGTTTTTCTTAATACCTTTGTGGTCATAAGCAACCACTGGTTTTATCTTTATAACAAATTTTGGTTAAAATAAAGATGAATGAAGAATATATCAGAATTCCTTAAAACACAGGTAGAAAACCAAAATCCTGGCCATTCTACAAGGGAATCAGAATCACATCAGCAATGATGTTTACAAGAATATAAGACAGCAATGGCTTTTACATCCTAGGGGAATATACTTTCGATCCTAAAATTCTCAATTAGAAAAAAAATCAAACTGACAACATAACGCCATTTGCAGCAACATGGATGTTCCTGGAGAATGTCATTCTAAGCGAAGTAAGCCAGAAAGAGAAAGAAAAATACCATATGAGATCACTCATATGTGGAATCTAAAAAAAATAAAATAAAACATAAATACAAAACAGAAACAGACTCATAGACATAGAATACAAACTTGTGGTTGCCAAGGGGGCAGGAGGTGGGAAGGGATAGACTGGGATTTCAAAATTTGTAGATACTGACAGGCATATGCAGAATAGATTAGTAAGATTATACTGTATAGCACAGGGAAATAGATACAAGATCTCTGGTAGCTCACAGTGAAAAAAAAATGTGATAATGAATATATATATGTTTATGTATTTATTTTTATAAATAAAAAATCGTGCTGTACACTGGAATTTGACACAACATTGTAAAATGACTATAACTCAATAAAAAAGTTAAAAAAAAAAAAAGAAAAAAAATCAATCAAGTAAGGCCTAAATGCAGATTTATTTCGATCCATGACACTATTTTTAAGAATTAGAGAATCGAATCTATCAAAATAAAAAAATAATTCTAAAAGGAAAATATGATACAAATAAATATAATGGTTAATGGCAGAAAAGTATACAATATATTGCTAAGTCTAAAGTAATATACTTTATAAAAAATAAAATAAAATTCTAAAATTAAGAGTAAATAATCTCCACTTGGGAGATACTGAACAGGAGGAAGTGGAAGATGCATATGCATAACTAGGACCTAGCAATCCTGCTTACAAGTGCAATGCGGTGCAGCACACGATAGTGTAGATGAGCAAGCATCAGTAAGAAGCAGTTTAAATGGAATCACCATCACACAGCAACAAGGTGAGATGTGAAAACACCATGCTGGGGACAAATGAACAAATTCACCAGAAGAATATGAGTTATGTGCATTGCAGATACATACTCAGAAAACAAATTATACATAGTACAAGTTCACATATAAATAAAAGGATATACTTAATATGAATTAGAATTTGTACCATGACCAAAAAAAAACTGTTACCATGAACTGAGAATGGAAATAGGAAATGGGGATTAAAGGGAACAAATATATCAATATAACAAAGGGAAAAATAGAGTGTTGTAAACTAAAACAAAAAATTTACTCTGCCCTCCAGTCCAAATTAAAAAACAGATAAATTAAAAAAAAAAGATTTGTGTAAAAAATAAAAACAAAATATGGAGGACTTCAACTCTTAGGCAAGATGGAGTATCAGGGGCCAGATTAACCTTTCCACCTGAAACAATCAAAAAAATTGACAAAATATAAGGAAAAAATGGTTTCCAAAACAATGGATACCAGGCAACAAAGGAGACAGGAAGCAAGGAGATAAGCGCCACAATTGCCCCAGCTCACCACCTGAGAAGTATTTAGACTTCTAGGGAGAAAAAACTGAGGCAGAACCCAGCAGACTCCCTGATTTGAAGAGAGAGATTTGAGAATCCGGGAAGACCAAGGCAGCTAGCTAGAGTTCATGGAACAGAATAGGGAGAGAAAACCCCAGAGATCTGCAGGGGGCCCCTTTGGCACTCGGGGGAGTAGGAGTCAGCAAGTATAGGTAGGGAAAGCACCAGAGATCCGAGGAAAGAATCATTCAAAGCATCAAAGGGAACAGTACCCTGTGCTCATTAAGGGAATAGTGCCTGTTTCAAGCTAGCAGAATGTAAAATTTCATAATTCTTGGCCCACTGGGTAGGGTACTCCGGAAGATCTTCCCTCAGTAGTGGGGAATAATTAACCCGAGACAGAGCACTTTTCTGGACCTGCCTAACAAATCCTAAAAAGACAAAGACCAAAAAAGATCCAACTGTTTTCAAGTAATTTAACTATATTCCCAAAATAAAGCTCAAGAAGATTTATAGGAATACAAAGTATTCAGCATTCAACAAAGTAAAATTCACAGTACCTAGCATCCAACAAAAGATTACCAAGCACATAAACGGCAAGAAAACATGATCTTTGGAGAATTATCAGTGAATTGAAACTGACTCAAGAACTGACAAAGATGCCAGAATTAGCAGAAAAGGACATATACACAATTACTATAACTGTATTCCATGTGTTCAGAAAGTTAAAAACAGGCATGAAAGATATAAAAAGACCTGAGCCAAACTTTCAGAAACAAAAACTATAATGTCTGAGATAAAAAATAAACTGGATGGAGGGAAAAAAAAAAACACTGGATGAGATGAACAGATTACATATCACAGAAGAAAAGATTACTGAACTTGAAGTCAATCAAGCTCATTATGCCAAAAAACAAAAAAAACCAACCCAAATTGAAAAGAAAAAAAAAAATCAGAAACTATGTGATGATTTCAAGAAGACTAATACATAGATAACTGAAGGGTGGGGTGGGATGAAAAAACCAGAAAACATATTTGAAGAAATAATGTCCTAAAACTTTCCATAATTAAAAAAAAACACTATAAACTTATAGTTTCAAGAAGCTCAATGAACCCTAAACTAAAGAAACATAAAGAGGGGGGTGGGTATAGCTCAGTAGTAGAGCATGTGCTTAGCATACACCAGGTATTGGGTTTAACCCCCAGTATCACCATTAAATAAATAAATAAAACCTACTTCGTCCCCCACAAAAAAAATTTTTTTAAGAAACATAAAGAAAACTACACCAAAGAATATCAGAATCAAATAGCTCAAAATAAGTGATTTTTAAAAAATCTTAAGTCAGCCAGAAAAACAGACATGTTAAAGAATATATATACGACATGGAAACAACCTTAGTGTCCATCGATGGAGGAATGAATAAAAAAGTTGTGGTATATTTATAAACATACAATGGGATACTGCTCAACCATAAAAAGAGAATGAAATTTTGCCATCTGCAGCAATACAGCTGGACTTGGATGGCATTATGCTAAGTAAAACAAGTCAGAGAAAGAAAAAAACAGTATGATATCACTTATACGTGGAATCTAAAAAATCCAAAAAACTAGTAACTATAAAAGAAGCACTACCTTACGCTTACTGGGTGTAAGGTAGGCTCAAGGAGGTTTTGTACAACATATGGAATATAGCCAATATTTTGTAATAACTGGAAAAGGAATGTAACCTTTAAAAACTGAATAAAAACTGTAAAAAAAATTTACAAAAAGAACATATATAAAGATGACATCAGATTTCTAACTGGAAACAATGCAATAGAGAAGGCTGGGGAATGAAATCTTTTAAGTACTAAAAGAAAAAAAACTGTCATACTCTAATCCCAGAGATAGCAAAAATATCTTTCAAAAATGAAGGCAAAGCTTCCAGTTCAGGACAAGATGGAGAAGATACACTTCCTATTCCTCTCCCTAAATACAGCTAAACATAATGGTGCATAAAGAAACAAAACAAGACTGAAAGGTGGAGAGAAATGGCAGATCAAGAAGGGATCCTGGCCCCAAGAAATGACATGATGTTGGGCTTCCTGGGTTTTCTTTTTGCTTCTTGTATTTCACACAGGGTGTTAGAGAAGCCAGCAACCTGAAAATGCCAATAGGTGCAAATTTTTAAAAACCTAAGAAAATCCTGG